CAGTTATACTAGCAACATTAAGCATTTTAAACCTACTGTAGTATGGAAGGGACAACATAATAAAAAGGCTCATTTATTTAATGCCTCTTGACTACAGAAGTAGTTATGCTGTCCCTTCCATCTTTCAGCACCAAAACTGAAATGCTGAATAGCGTCGGGTGTTTAGAACATCCACGGACAAAGCTAGGTCAGTCAGTAATTTAAATACATGTGTGCTTCTGACTAGCTAACAGCACTGGTTTGTTGAGGAGCTGAAAAAAAAATTAAAAAGAATCATACCCTTACTAAATGTTTCAGACTGACTCATTTCTGACTGACAAGTCGTAGTCACTAATTATTGCAGTGGAATGTGCATATGCGCCTTCCAAAAATTCATGTGGCTGCTGAATTTCACATCCTACTCATCTCCCAGCAGATTTCTCGGTACACATGCTTACATAAAAAAAAACTTCCTGAGCTGCATCTGAATGATGTAAGTGTTGGGTAAAGACAACTGATTATTTAAAACAAGATCAAGGTTCGATTTAGCTATGTTTAACCTCCAAGAGCAAAGCTTGAATGCACCTGAAAACTTTTAACACTTCCATAATACATAAATATCTCCCATATCCTGCATAGCAAGAGCACTTGCCTTTGTCTTCTTTTTCTACTTCTTTCTCACTTTCCTTTTGCTACCGCTTTCTTCTCAATCTTTCTTAATGCTTTATTTTATCTTCTGATACCTAATTATGTAACCTACTCCACCTCGGTAACCAGCACAGTAGTAGCAGCATAATACATAATTACACCTTGCTTGTTTCAGTCTTTTTTTTTTTAACACAGACAAGATTTGTTTTATTCATCTCATATATTTTGTTCATTTAATTACTGCTATTGCATCTCGCTTAATTTAGCATTTCAAAGTTAGAAAGGAAATTACCTACCAAGTCTGTCAGATGACCCTGTTTCCAGAGAAGGTCTGGTAACAGGAGAGATAACATGTGCTGACGCTGTCTACTGAGACCAAGTCATAAACTCAAACCCAGATTCTCTGTGATACAATTCAAAGCCCTACACTGATGCCATAAGTGAGTTCTTAGAAAGATTAAAATACGTAGAGGTATCTATGAACAGTAAGACTTTACCAGGCCCTTGGAAAAGCTTTAGCTCTGCCATATTTTCCAGTATATGTGCTCAAAGCTATTTAAGTGCACGTACATGACGCACTCGCACTGCATGTGTGACTGACTGAGAACTTGAGAAGTCACCCCAGGTCCTGACATCACAAGGATAAAACCTGCATCAAGAGAACGAAGGGAAAAGCAGCCTGGCTGAAAATGAACGCGTGTTAACATACTGTTCGTGCCGTACCTAAAGGAAGATGAAAGTGCTGAGTCTTTCACTGACCTGTCGACTTCTAATGTAAGGAACTCGCAAAGCTAAATTCCCTCACAGGCTATCACACACTCATGCCTTCTTGGTCCGTGTGCATTGCCTACATTATGTGCAGAACTTGGTACAGGTTTTCCTTGCCAATTCATTCTTAAGGCAATGCATGAAGACAAAAAAGACAGTCACACAACGTGATTATCAAGTGGAAGATGGCAGTCAGATGGATATAATAACCTAAGAAACTTGTGAAGTTACAATTGCGGGAAATCATAAACAGCATCCAAATACCCTGCAATGAGTTGCACAAATCTGTATGAATTGTGCAAAAAAGCATTGAACTTTTAGTACTTCGCTCCCCTCTGAATTCTTGGCATTTTCAAAAACAAGGAGACAGCACATTAAAAATAAACACTGCTTTATTTGCCAGATTTAGATCTTATTAAATGTACATATATAAGTTAGCTGAATGCAATGTTTAAAAAAATTTATCCCAACATTAGTGTATCATATACAGCAACATACTTCGCAGACAAAATGCCACTCAGATTACATGGCAGTACAAGTCAAAACAAGCAGTACACATACAACAGTAGGAATGTCCATCTATTTTCACTCCGTCCTGTTGACTCAAGCTGAGAGCACTACATAAAAAAGTAAAAGCATAACAACAAAATCTTCTAGAAAAAACAGTATAGTGTCTTATAGTAGCACTCTTATTTTGCAGTCATTTGCTCAGAACATACCACATTAAATCTTTCCAAGGTAAAAAGACTCAATTTTAATTGGAAAAAAAATAAAAATCCCTGATTGTGTTACACTTGAAAGGCCAATTTTCTTTTTCTAATTCTAGTGAAGCAATCTACTGTCGCTTAAATTACAGTAGTTCCAACACAGAACTATCTTCATGTTGATTAAAGGACACTTTTAGATTCTTCTATTAAACATATCAAAATCAAATATTCCAACAGTAAGAATAAACACATCCTCAAACTGACCAGTCCATTTTTCTTATTTTTGCCACTTTTCAACACCACTTCAGGAAATGTATATGTATGTGGACCATTATAATCCTAATCATACTAATAATATTTTGTCAAAATACTGCTTAATGACAAGACAAACTATTATGTAAAGAGGTGTTAGACTTATTTTGTTACATAACATTAGCTCTTAATATGACAACACATTCTCTTCAACAGTTTCTATATACTAAGAAGTAATGCTATGAAGTGTAATGATATATTTTTAAGACATATATATTTCTTTTTAAATGAGCTGATCCCAGATTTTTTCCACTTGCTATTATAAGATACAACATATGCAAACCAGCTGTTTGTATAGTATTAAATAGGAAGTGATCTCAAAAAGTAAGTTTGAAAGAAGCAAGAAGTAGGGGTCAAAACATCAGTTCAAATTTGGGGGTCTGCACACAGGGCTTCTGCATATCAATGCTGCAGGACTGATAAGCTAAGGAATTTCCCTGGTCTCCTCCATCTTGCTTTTAAACAGCATTATTCATTCACAATACATCTATTTTGCTGACATCTTTTCAAGTGTTGTATATTAGGACATTTTATTACAAGACCTGAAGAGAATAGTGCATCTAAGGCTGAATTTTCAAATCTGTTTTCAGCTTCAATCAGATTGTACATTTTGCATAGAAATAGTTTTGCATCTCATCACCTTACTGTTTGAAGCAATTGTTTGCCTTGCTAACAGTAACAAAACCGTGAAATCTAAATTAAGCACTTCAATTAACAGTATATGTGTAAGAAGCAGCAAAGTGCTTGCATCGTGTAAATTCTGGTGTCGCATACATAATTATGGTGACTGATATTCTTCTTTGGCATATACATTAAGCAGCAGAGCTAATTTATTTATACATGCATTCCTCCAATAAAACCATTACTTCAAATATATCTGAATATTCAAGAACATGGTCAGTTCATCATGAACATGAGTTGCCAACATGCTTGATTTATCAAGCAAACTTACAGAACGAAGCGGAATAACTTACAGTAACAAGAAATGTACATCTGCTTCAATTCCTTGACTGGCAGCCAAACCATGTGATGTTTGTTCGAGGTAGGCACTTCAACGTTACAACTTTTGCTAATAAGGATGGTTCCATTCAAGACATTGATTTAAAACTCTGGTACAACATTAAGGTTACTAACCAAGTATTCCAAGACGTAGGCTAGCTCTGGTAAAACAGAATAGGGAAACCTCAAGTTGTGGATGCAGTAAACAGTACATCACTTGGCTGATATGGAATACAAATCTAAATTTTTTGTGTATACTTGCAAGGAAGTATAACTTTCAAAGTGCAAATATAGTAAAATTGCTAATCTCTCTAGCTAGTGTACTTGAGCATGAGAGAACTCAACAGTCTGGTGCTACTTTACCTAAGCACTCCCCCTACGAACTGCTCCCCGTGAACAGTTCGCATAGCGCTAGGACAGACGTGTGCCAAGGCAGGCATGGTTTGGCTAGCACTGTGCAGCTATGTGTGCAGGTTCACAGTATCACGATGCCTGCAAGCATACTTTGGAAATACGCATTTCCCCATAGTGATCTTTTTCACATCTTTTGCCAAATGCAAATAAACAAGGCACTAAGCATGGAAGTGTTGATATGTTTTAAATATACAGCAAAATCATAAAAATGCCTAACTGCTTCAAATTATAAAATGAGGGCGCATTCATAAACAGCTGGTAGCTACTTTGCACAAGTAGTTATTATATATTTATAAACTCGGTAACTTTGTAGAAAAGCCCCATGACAAAACAGGAAAAAAAAATCCTTATTAAAGATTAAAATGAAAAAACAAAACCAAAAACCCCAGGCTCTTATGTATAAGGACAATACCAACGTAAACATAGATTATTTGGCATGCTTAATATCTTTTGAGTACAAACCCATCTACAAACCACCCAGCTAGATCAATTAGTGTGGCGGTCCAGCTCCCAGTCCACTCCACGGTGCAGCCATACTCCAGGGTATGCATGGAGTACGGACACACAGCGTTAGCCCTGTGTTGGCATTCACAGAGAATCCAAACAAAGGAGCAGCTTTGACCAAAACTGATGTCAAGCATGATTCTCCAACGGCAGTTTTTGAGGCTGAGGAATAAGTTAGTTGTACTTTACCAAACTTTTTCAAAAAACACTGTAATTGGATGATTCCACAATACTTGCATTTAAAGAGCAAACTCTTTGGCAGATGATATTTTTATTAAAATAAATTATGGTGGGTTTTCTTTTCCTTCATTAGTATGTATTAACTGAATTCTGTGCCTATAAATAATTCCAAGTGGAATTAAGCCAATATATCCTTAGAAATCAATTCCTTCTAAAAAGTGTATAGAAGTTCAGAGCTGAAAACAAATGTTTCATAAGACATAGTGGATACAAAAAAAAAGCCCCAAACCCTAACCCTTGTATCAGGAGCATTCTCCTATTTAAATGATCGTGTCATAAAAATAATAATTCTCCGCGTTTTC